TTTCAAATTGATTTAACATATTGGACAGTTCGTCTTGTATTAGCTGGTCAGGATACTGATACTTCCAAGAGTGCGGTGGCGTCCTAGCCAACCTCAAGTTGTCATGTCATCGGTACTATTTTGTCGCTATTGTTAAGATTTTTATGACTAATTTTCGTATTTCACTTAATAAATACATATGTATCAACAATAAATTATGGACTTGAAAACCTGGTGGAACAATACCACAATACCGTAGCATAAGGCGGCAAAGCGACGGGGGCGTTGATGAACAGCTTTTGCGTTGGCTCTGTGCATAAGGCGCTCAAAGAGATTCATAGAAGGGCCATCCGCAAAACTTACAAAGGAATACAGGAAGACAACCCAACCGGATTCTGGGCAATGCCGCCTAAGCAAGCACAACCACCGGATATGAGTACAAACAGAAGAAACTCTGTGCAGATATTGCCATGAAGAGGAGGAGACCGCAGAACAAATTTTATGGTTTTGTGAAGGTTTGTAGGTGCAGATTCTTGCAACTAGGACAGGAAAAGCCATAAGCAAGATCCTACACTAAGGAGCCACTGGCTAGGCTTTGGAGGTTGATAACCTGAAGATTGACCTGAAGCTGGCCAGTGAGTTATAACAAACTGGGGATCACGATAGATTTCTTCTTCATTTCTTTCATTAAAGATTTGAAATTTCTTCCAACGTTCCAATTGCTTCCTATCGTCACGCTATCCTTCCTAAGAATCTTCCATATCGCCTCAAACGTCAATGGCTTCTCATCACACGTGTCCCCCGAGTGCAGTGCTGGCCGTAGTATGATTGTTATACATAAAGGGCAATTTGTAATGCTATTTTTTTAACTTTATTTCCCTATGTACTTTAATGTGGTTCATTTAGTGTCGTTTGGTTTACTAAGTTGTTGATCTTGTTTGTGTTATAGCGTTGTGTGCATGATTTTACTGGTTCGTTTTCGTTTTCCTCCCTGGTTTGTTGCAATGTTTGTAGCCTTGTCATATACTTTAGTGCTGGCATTTTGCACCGATGAGGATAGATGTGTAGACTGGTATTAGGTTATCAGCATTTGTGATTGGTAAGTCTAGAAAGGTAAGGTTGTAGTTTACATGAGAAAATAAGCGCTTCCATTGTAAGACAAATTACTTGCAGGCGTACGAATCACAATAATTTTATTTGTAAACACTGATAAACAAAACTAAGTACTTAATTACTAGTCACAATTAAGGAACGATCTAAAATTCGGGTGGTTCTTCCCATCAAACTCTTTCGACGTTGGTGGTCGCTTAAATGACTGCTTTTTCGGTCAAAGAGGCAGCAGAGAGTTCGTTATTTCGGCATATTATTCGGAAGACGTCTCGTGTTAACGGCTGCGACGAGGCCAGTTCACGGCAATCCAGTGGATCCAATTTATTCAGGAGAGTTTAAAAAACCGCACTCGTTTAAAAATTCTTGAATCGAATTCTGTGTTTTTAATTGATCGAATTCAAACGGTTTTAGAATGCAAGTGCATCACCTTAATAATTCATTAAAGGGTAAAAAAATATTCTCCATACAAATCACTCCATAAGTTAAACCTCCAGATAACGATATTCTTGCACCTGCACCAGCAAAATAACTTTCAATTCTATGCAACAATTTACAAACCGAACAAAAATCAGCTCCTTTTCAGGTAATAACTCATTTATAGGCAAATTATCTTGTTCTCGGTTAAATAGTAATATAATTCTTAATATAAATTTTAGAAACCATTCAAAATAATTATAAAAATGTTCTCGAATAAATGAAAGTCGCACGGCCCAGTAGTGAAGATGACATAAAATGACATGGTAAGCCTAAACGAAGGGGGATGCATCAAAATTCCAAACCGAATTACAGACTTCATTCTAATGGCAAAGTTAAATTAAGTCCATATCTAATCATAGATCATACCTGTTTACCCCCCTTGTGAATCTAAAGCTTCCATTAGGTGGGAGTTTTCACGCCGAACACACATGGGCATGGCCGTATTGTCCAAGAGTAATTAGCATAATTCATTAGAGTTCGCGGTCCAATTGACCGAATAACTTTTTTTCAATTAATTAATCTTTTGTAGGGTTGAGGTGGTTATTGTCCGAGAGGATCGAAGTCACGATCGCTCAAGTGGTAGACCAGCGGCGTATTTAGCCAAAGGTCGTGGGTTCGAATCCCGCTCTGACACTGACTTTTTTATCTCAACCATTACCGTATAAAGATTAATTACTTGAAAAAAGTAATTAGCATATTTTAATTTCGACGAAGACGTCTTTATGTGGAGTCAGATTGTGAGACATTGGGCCACAGACTCAACACTGATAGACGAAACGCCGAAACACGCCTGGCAGACGAACACAGCACGCATCGGCAGACCAAAATAATAAGTAATGAACAAAGTGAAACAAGTACTTACAATTAGAAGCACTTTTTTTCTGAACAGGCACTCAGTTCTCAAGTCTGTTCTCATATCATGTACTAACAACCTCTATATATCCATAACATCTTTCCATTAGCTGGGATATCGCCAACATCACATGCAATCTTTGCCAGTTTTTTTTTTCTTTACAAAACAACAAAAATATCAGTTCATCTTCATGGAATAACTCATTTATAAGCAAATTATCTTGTTCTCAGTTAAATAGTTATATAATTCTATTCTAAATGTAAATTTAGAAACGATTCAAAATAATCATAAAATTATAAGAATAAATGAATTTATTAGTGTTTTTATATAACTATTAATCCATTGTTGTATACATTTCTATACCATTTTTACATGAATGCTATTTATTGTTTACTTACTTCGCGATAATCTCTATTGAGTAATTTCAACCGTCTTTAATGTTCTTTTATTAACTTGTTATAAAACACTGCCAAAGGTTTCATATGATTTCGGCAATGTTCCAACTGATGGAAGGATGTCATGGTTTTTTATAGAGATTTTAAGTAGACATGATTGAAAACTGAGTTCCTAGTTTCACTGTTCAGAAACGAAATGCTTCTAATTGTATGTAGATGTTTCAATTTGGTCGTTACCTATTATTTCGGTCTGCTTATCTTCACTGTGTTCGTCTGTCAGAAGTGTTTCGGCATTTAGTCTATCAGCGTTAAGTCTGTGTCCCAAATACTCAACCATTTATCATTTCTGTCTTTGGCAGTGTGTCACTCCACTCCTTTATCGATTCATTTTGTTCATCATTGTCATATTGGTTTTAGAGAATGATGTGAACGATCAACTATTGGTTTTTAATGAGTTCTACAACTATAAATGAGGACAATAAATATAACAAATTATTAAAAGAACATTAAAGACGGCTGAACTTATTCAACAGGGATTATCGCGAAGTAGTAAACAATGTACTCGGACAGGCAAAAAATTCCACCCAATTGATTTTTTCATTTTTTCGATAAAAGAAAATTCTGAGCTTAATTTGTCTCATTGTTTTGATCAATAAATATTTACTTATGCTATGTTTTAAAATGGGAGAGAGGAATGTAATTAGAGGTAAGCACCCTTATTCCCTAATCCAAAACAAAGATCAAGGATTTTTCAATGTTTACTTTTTACGGAATTTAAAATGCTTATTCAGTTTCATTTGAATTCTGAAGCAATAAATTGTTTAGTTTTCAGCTTTGTTTCCTTAATTTCAATTTTTATACTTAAATATGCCACTTAGTGCTGAGGATGTTGCGCGTGGTGTGGCTCTTATTGATGATGGATATTCAGGTATGCGGCTATTGCCATCGGAGTTCCCTGCGAAACGCTGCGAGACGCCGTTAGACGTTTTCGAGAAACTGGGTCCTACCACGGAAGGCCCGGTTCAGGATGCCCTAGGGTAGCAGAGCCACAGGATAACCGTTTTTTGACTTTGGGAATTTTGTGAAACCGGCACTTTACTGTTGTTCAAGAGATTCATCATGTCCAGGAAGTTCGAGGTGTCCAAATTTCTGAACGCAGTGCTGGAAGAAGATTAAATCGGTATGGTCCGATGGCTTTTGGCACGTAAGATGACCTGAATTGACCAGAACGCACAGAGTTGCACGGATCGCATTTGCTCGAGAACACAGCCATTGGTCTTTGGACGATTGGTCTTCTGCACTTTTCACAGATGAATGTAGATTTATTCTACGATCTCTAGAGGGGCGTGAAAGAGTTTGGAGAAGGTTAAATCAAGGAAGCTTCTAATTTTTCCTAGACTCAACCTTTTCATCGTAGCTCAGTGATGGTGTGTGCAGGAATGGAGAGAAGCACAGATTTGGTTGTTGTTCTTAGAGGGTCTTTGACGGTCACTCGCTGTGTGAATGAAATTTTGGACCTTGATGCGTTGCCTATCCTCGATGAAATCAGCGACAGTCCTAACAGCATAACACCAGGGTCTTAGCCTGGCCAGCCCGTTCTCCAAACTTGAACAACCTCGAACATTTCTGGGATAATCTCAAAAAATGAATAAGAGCACGTCCATCATTTCCTGATTCACTCCACGATTTGGAAGGACTCTTAGTAAAGAACGGGCTAACCTCCAGCAAAGAAACATTTCCAAACTGGTAGAAAGTATGCCGAGGCGTCTTCAAGATGTAATTAAGGCAAGAGGAGGAAATATACGATATTAAAATGTTAATTAAACATGTAAAACAAAATTAAAACAAATTTTATCAGTACGTCTTTTTTTAAATTTTTATTTTTAATTTTCCTTAACAATTTACATTTTTTTTAAACTTTTTTAGACAATCAATTATTAGACGTTAAAAATTGTGAAACTTTTATTAATATATGAAAATATATATAAATCGAGTTATATTACAAGTGGGTGGAAGTTTTTGCCTGCCAATATAATATCGTTCATGTAAATAAGGTATAGAAATATGTATACGTATGTATGTAACAATGCATTACTAGTTAGATAAAAACTGTAATAAAATCTGTAAGGAAATGACAAAATATTAAATATCATGTATAGCCGTTTAGTTTCAAAACAAAAACAAACCTGTCATTATAGAAGCGTGATCAATTGGGCGAAGTAGGGGCGGTTGTAGCATTGTTCATATAGACGGTTTATACATAAAATCGACCTGAAACTGACATTCCGGCTCCTGATCGAAAAAAAAAAAATCGTGCCATGGCTGAAACTCACCTATACGCAGCAGAATTTCCGGCTCTTCATCCCTCGGGGTTCCGGCTATGAATAATACAGGGTGCCGCCGGGTGGCGAAAGGGGCGCAGGCGTTTGGGAAGTCGCGCCGCCCCCGGCATTGGCGCAGCCGCCGCCATCACTATCGGAAAACCGCCCCCACTCGGCTCTGTTATCCCGTTTCGCCCTTTTCTTTCGACGATTCCCTCCTCCGGGGACGTCTGCCTTCCCATGGGAAATAACTGAGGGATGGGCTGTGGGATTAAGGCTTTATTTAGTTCCCCGATTGGATGGAAGAGCCTCCCTTAAAATAAATATTTTCCTCTCAAGAGATGGTTTATTAATGGGAAGGAAGAGTGTTAATCTAATGCCCATTGGGTTTCCCGTTTCAACTGATTTTTCCCAATTTAACAAAAAATTCTTTTTTTAAATAATTTCCACCGTATTTTATCATAACTTAATTGGGTTATACTTTCTTGTCAGACCTTGTACATATTCATGCCACTCTTCTTGTTCCATCCACCAAAAAATACCTGACATTTTCAGTTAAATTTAGCAATTATTAAATTACTTTTTGGATAGTAATAAGTTGAAAATATAACAAATACTGTATCATTCTGTGATGCCATGAATAGCTGTATGCCTAGTTCGTCATATTTCCTTGTTTTTTCGGTTTTCTTTACTTAACACGTGTAAAGGTTTTTAAATTTTGATTACGCACCTGTAAGTTATCAAAGAATCTGTGATAAGTATATGTGAATGTAAAATTAATTAAAAATGTAAGAAATATTATATAATATAATAGAAGAAATATATCGTCGAAAGCTCGGCTTTGGTATAAAAGCGTTATCTGTTCTTACCTCGATAATAAATTCCCGAGACTCTAATGAACTACCCAAAAATGAATAAGGATTTTACCAATTTTGTAGTATTTACTTTCCCCAGCATTTTATTTTTATTTCAATTAATTAATCTTTATGTAATGTTGAAATGAAAAAGTTAGTGACACGAGCGGGATTCGAACCCATGACCTTCGGCTAAATACGCCCCTGCTCTACCCTTGAGCTATCATGACTTCGATCCACTCAGACACCAACTTCCCATCTCAACCCTCCCTTTCGAATTTTCCTCCGTTTTGCCATTTTTCGAATGTCGTGTAGTCAGGATTCCATTTTCGGCGATAAATGACACGGCCACGGAGAGCTTTTAGTGAAGATACTTCCTTTTATTTATTAATTCCATTATATTTCGTGGACCGATTAACCAATATCTTCTTTTCATTAATTAATCTTTATGTAAAGTATTGGTTGAAATGAAAAGGTTTGTGTCACGAGCGAGTGGCTCGAAGACACGATAGCTCCAATGGTAGAGAAGCGGCGTATTTAGCGGAAGGTCGTGAGTTCGAATCCCGCTCGTGTCTTACTGTTAATAAGACTGTCACTAATTTCATAAAAAATTTCACTGGATAGATATTGCAACGCAAGCCTTGAAAAGCCTTCCATGCAACGCATCCCATGTGCTGAATGGGATTGATGTCTGGAGAAAATGGGGGAAGGGGCAGATGGTAAAAACGAAAATTCCTGCCAACGAGATCCCTGGTTTGAGGGATGTATTCCTCGATAATTTCTTGGACATAACGGACTGCGGTGAGGTCGTCTTCAACAATATAGGGTCCAGTTCCTCCTCCAGTGTAAATCCCAGCCCAGACCATTACACCCCCTCCTCCAAACTGAACTGAAGAGAGCACGAACCGGGGTATGGTACGCATCCCCTATTCTTGGTAAACTCTTCGGCGCCTGCTGTCACTATACAGACAGAAACGCGACTCATCAGTATACAAAACAGCATTCCAATTAGTGTTCTCTTTTACGAGTTAGCTGCACCATATTCTCCTATGTTGCAGGTGGCCGGCTGTTGCTGCAGATCGTCTCAAAGGACTTCATTTAGGATCTGGCGGGCACTATGGAATTGGTTCCTCTTGCAGCAATGACAATATTTATGTCCTCCCATAGCGTCGATATGCATTGAGATCCACTACAGTCCACACGTCTCCTATGGGCATTTCCAGTCTCTAGGAATCGGGCTAAAGCACGGGAGACACGTTCTGAGGAACGCCAACTCCCTCTGCGATATCCATTTGCCGGTAACCTCGATGACCCATTCTTACAATAATATTACAAACTTCTGGTTGAAGATGATGTCTTTCCATGGTTAAAGAGAATACGGCTTGATTTAAATGGCGAAATGTCGTGTTGTTTACAAAATGAATAATCTTCATGTTTACTATTCTTAAGTAATTGCGTTATTAAAAATGAGGATTAACATTTGGTTTTGGTTTGCATTTTCTATTTTTATCCAACTGACATTTATTTTTTAGCAGTTTAAATAGTCAACTTCACGAACGCAGTATCTGCAGCGGTACAGAATATACTACAAAAATTGCCTACCGATTTAGAATGCTTCCAGCAGGTATAAGTAAAATAATGAAAGGAAAAAAGAAAACTCGTTACTTATATCAGAAAAATAAGACGGACCAAACAAGTTAAATAAAATGCAAAATATAGTCCAGAAACACTAGTTGACTGGAAAAACAAAAATTGGACCAATTACGTCAGTTCTGATAAATCCAATAACAGTTCCATCTGCCACATAGTAAAACACATTAGATCGAAGAACAAGTGGCCCCATTTACCACTAATCTCTATATGGTATTGAGAAATGTTTCAGATGAAGGTAAAGCAAACACTATTGGCTACTAATAAACACTACAGATTGGTACTAATCTGTGGACAAAATTATCAAAAAAATCCATCAAAGACCTAACACGTTCATAGAACAGTTAAAAAATATGCCACCGAAACCCTGGTTAATGCAGATTGTAAGTTGATTACCACAAAAGAGATTTTGGATGTGATTAAATCAAGGCAAAACAAGAAAGCTTCAGGCCTAGACTTCCTAACTTGTTACTCCAAAAATCCCGAGAAAAGCCATAATATTCTTAACGTAACTTTACTTAACCCCAATATTGCGATTGTTAACAAAGAAGAAAATATCTGCAAGTAAATGTTCATAAAAAAAATGGGCAAACCATGATCTAACTAAACCATGATAAACATGGCTAGAGACATATAAACCTACTCAGTAAAATCGTTGAGCGCTGAATACTGAGCAGAATTGAGAAACGTATAACATCAACAGACGTCATGAGGGAGGTGCAGTTCGGATGTAATAGTTGTACTGGCTGATAGGGTATAAAATCCTTCTGAGTGAGCCTAAACGAGTGTTCTACTTTTAGCACAGCATTAGATATCCCAGTCGGATACATCTGGGACCCTTTCTTTTGACAAACCTCCTCAAGGATATACGCTGTTTTGGAGAGTTCTATAATATCGGGATACTCTTATACAATGTAATCGTTTTAAATGAATAAAAGAATTTTCTAATATTAACTTTTTAACAGGAAATGTAGGCAATTGTTCCAATATTAATGTGTTTATTTCGAATGGGTATGAACTTGCTACAGCTGTTTTGAGAACCAGATTGATTTACACTAGTCAAAGGCTTTGTTGTTTCAAAATGCTTCATTCCTCTTGATGGATATTTTGGAAGTTAAAACCCCTCTGTTCCTGAAAGGTTGAAAAGCCAGTGGTTATAGTTTAACATTTGCAACAAACTCAATTTGCAAAGACTTTCCTACACAATGAGCTAACCTGTCACTTAATTGATAGACAAACTTTCTGCTGTTTTTATTTTATTTTTTCACTTCCCTAGGGCCAAATGGTCGAGGGTCTTCGCTACCGGGCCAAAGTTACGCTCCAGGAATTGTTAACAGAAATAATAATCTAGCCTTCTCACAGAAGACAATCGCAAAAATAAGTACATTCACATCAATGTACATTGTATTCATTCTGGTTGTAAGTGGTTTCCTCGATATTTCTCCTCCGAACTACACACACTTGTAATAAACTAACCTAAGTTAGGGTCAACATTTTCATAAATATTCCCCCTCAGCACGCGAGAACGCACGCACACTCACACACAAACACACACACACACACACACACTGTATTAGATGGGCGGTGATGACTCTATATTTCTCCATTAGCCCCTCACCATTAACACCAATAAAGACACGCGCTCAAACAAAACACAAAACCACAAAATACACAAAACAAGAACGAACTATAAAATAGCGGGCGATATCTCTATATGTAGCCATGACAAGTTGTACTAAGTGGGTCACATGGAGCAAACTTTCTCTGCATAAAGGGCACCTGCGCGTGCAGCCAAAAGCAGGTGCCCGTGTGTCAACCACGCTTGACCCATTCTTAGTCTTGCCAGAACGATACTTTTCCAGCTCAGGTTCTCGGCGGGCCTCCTGCAGGTCTTACCATTGGCCCGAAATAGCCTCTCGGACGAAGAGGCATTGTCATAGAGTACAACGTGTTCTCCGGAATCATCTATTTTAAGAATTTTCTAGTCAATTTATATTGCAATTTTGAAAGCAAGCATTGAACGACTGATTTGATATCGGGGTGATCATTGAATTTTGGGAAATTTTAATTGATATTATTTGTTGTAAATATTTTACATGCTTAAACTTTCATTTATTGTCAGAGTTGGAAATAAAGGGTAATCTGAATATTCCGAAAGAGCAGTTTTCAATGAAATTCCCGTCTAGCCCAGATGCCTGATGAGGTCACTTGTAGATATGCCGTAAACTGTCCTTTGAAGAGCCTCTAACTAACAGCAGGCCGGTATTTTTCTCTTTACAAAAATAAACAGCAATTAGCAGCTGAAATAGACTTTATTTTGTTTCATCTTGCCAACAGGCAGAAGGAGTTGACGCTGATTGGCCGGGGGGTGACGACAAATAAATAACAATTAAAATAGTCCCAATCCAAATAAATAATTAAATAATTTAAATAATAATTATGTTGTTTTTCTTCTTTTATATAGAATTTAAGATTTATTTAAATTAATGTTTTTATTGCGACCAGCGCAGTTAAATATTGCGTAGATATTCCGAGACGTCAAATC